TTTCTTACCGTTGAGCTTAATATCAAAATGTTTCAACAGTGAGTACGACCCGTTGACAATACCATTATGATCTTCTAATGCAATGTTACCTCCATTAGCCAGTAAGACTACTTTAAAATCAAGACTGATTCGAGCATTATACCAGTCAAATGGTGTAACCTCTCCGCTGTTATCAACAACAAACCTATAGCCATCTTTCTTCTGATAGGCATTATTAGGGACAGTTGTATTCAGTGCTGTTTCTAGGTCAAAAATAACATCTTCACATGGTAGTTTCGAAAACGAAGCACTCAAAAACGAAGACCGAAGCACGAAGCACCCTATCTCGAAAACACAGCACCCAAAACTCGAAAACGAAGCACCCTATCTCGAAAACGAAGCACCCAAAACTCGAAAACGAAGACCCCTAGATCGAAAACGAAGCACCCAAACCTCGAAACCTCTGTAGGTTTAATAAGTGCAATGCAACTTTACGTCTTATATGATGCAATCCGAATCAGGTGGAGGCAGCGGATGCGTCCGCACCTCTAAAGGTCCACAAAATCCATCCCAAGGTTTTATAACCAACTGTTTCACTGACCGTTTCTTTATAGGAAATCCTGTATTAATTTTATTATTAGTCTCGCTATACTTGATACATCTTACCTTAATATGCATTTTTTCGGTACACATACATGTTTATGTAGACTTCAAAACTGTCTGTCAGCAGATTTTGGCGTATTCAAGTGCGCGTGAGCAGTAACACAAAAGGTCTGAAACGAGGCTGAAAACGGAGTGTGAGGCTCGCGCGTACTACTCTTACGCCACGCTTTACCGACTTCTTTACTGATTTTAAGAAAAAAAAAACCGATTGTTTTGCAGTCTAACATATTGGGTATCTATGACCTCCGTGGTCAGATCAGATCAGATCCAGTCAGAATTTGTTCTAGGGTAATAGCCTGGGACCAGGCTCCATGGTGGGGAACAGGAGAATTCGATTCGTTATAGTGCTTGATTCCTGCTGTATTAGCATTGGTCTCGTGTTTAAAAAGGACAGACCGGTTTCGAGTTTTTGGGTGCTTCGTTTTCGAGATTTAGGGGTCTTCGTTTTCGATTTAGGGTGCTTCGTTTTCGAGTTTTGGGTGCTTCGTTTTTGAGATTCGGGTGCTTCGTGCTTCGGTCTTCGTTTTCGAGTGCTTCGTTTTCGAAACTACCATCTTCATATCGTTCAACATATTTCGGATCCCTAGAAGATTTCATTATATTAATAGATTAGATAAATCTTCTCATCCGGCCTCCAGACAATAATTGATTTACCCTCTTTGCATTAACCTCTTATTCGCTTAGCTCTTTTGATTGTGGTTTTTTTATTGGCGATGTTGCTACTGGCGTTTTTGTCTTTTTATTCCTTTTTCTCAACAACTGAATAATTTTATCGCCCGCTTTCTCGCCTGCATATTCACCAGTCTTAGTGGCAGCTTTCTGAAGGGCTGTTTTGGTCGCAGTTTTAGCAGCCTCTTTCATTGTCTTTCCAAACAACTTTCTACCAATCGTTTTGAAAACATCGGTAACAACACCTTCTCCATAAATATGCTTCTTAACATATCTCCCCGTTTTAAAATCATAACGTTTCTTGAATTCTGATCGTTTCATGTATATTATTTGGTTAGATTATTATGCTGGTTTAGATTGCAATATTAGGGTCATAAACCAAACAATCTTATTTAGACCAAATGGTCGCCCCAGTGAGTCTGTTATGCAAAACCTCATTTGACTGATATTTAGTTGGGATACTTCATTAACCAATAGTCTTCTGGGTTCAAATGTGAATGGAAAGCTTCTTGTCAAATTATCGGTTGGAATAACAGCTAAAGTATTGGTATTTACACCATTCAATATGCTGTTCGGTATTGATATAGATCATGTCAATGGAATTTGTGACATTGGGAAGAATTGTCCCATATTCTGTTTTATTGGCAATCTTTTCTGTGAACCCAACTGTTTCTGTCTGTTTCTCAGATCCAGTTGGTAATTGTTGTCAAACTGAATGAGAATCTTATATGTCGATAATACGAATGTTAGGTTAATGTGGTATTTCTCACCAGTTTTATCGTCGGTGGTAAGATGACCTTTCTTTTTCATGTACTGATGGAGATAATCATTAAGATCTGAGTAAGTATACATTCGATTCACAAATTTAACAGTTTCCCATGATGTGCCACCATCAGGTGAGTATTTTCTTCGATTATTTTGATACTGATCTGAAATATTGTGCCAACTGTGAGTCATAGTGGCCTTATCCAATGCTATTTCATGTGTCATATCATTTTGGAGTTTTAACACTGGATCGAATTTGATTATGAAATCTGCTTTATTCTGTCCGATTTTCTGCCTATCAACAGATGGTATATGGATTGCTCTTTCTTGCATTTATATTATTAGATTACATATTCCTTCGACAGACTATTAAGCTGGGTGTTATTTAGAACACCTAATTTGTTTAGTGTGTAAGCAATTTTGGAAAATTCATTTTTGACGCCATTATTTTTAGCCAGTATTGATCCACCTAACAATTCCAGTCTGTCCAGTAGGTCAGCTGGGTTATTATAATAAACAACACCTGCACTAATTTTTTTGTATTTATTACTTGTTCGGTGAATTGGAATATCACTTATTCTATTCAGGTCGTCAGATACCATTTTTGATAATGGTGAATATTTCTTTTTACTATGGAACGGCTTTGTGAGCAGATCAAGCGTATCAAAGTCCACTTGCTTTTCATAGACTTTTTTTACCATCCTTATGAGCAATTAGTTTAAGCTGGCCATAAAGTTTGGGCATGTCAATGGTTACATCTCCGTAAACACCAGTATTGGGGTTAATCTTGTAGGCATTTCTCTTTTTTGAAAGTTTTACAACTGAATTGTAAAACACGGTTAATGGAGCGTGACGCCCTCAATCAACAACATGTAACGCAGTGTTAAGCTATAGCCCTTATCAAATCTCGTAGAAGTTTACTCGTGGTGGGTAAAACTACTGGGTAGTACGTAAAATCATGGCTGTTGCTGGGAAACTACTGATACAATAGCAATCCTTGTTTTTGTTGCAGTTGAGGCTAGTTTCTAATGTATCGCTCGTTTTGTATGGCTAGTAAAAATAATTTTCCTCATGCATATCTCGTGGAACACTTTAGGTGCACGTTCTATTCTGTAGTACAGTATTTTTCACTGGCCTACCTTGTGATAGCAATCAGGCTATAAAAGGCCTAGTAAAAGTCCTGTGTCTCATTCCGAGCTGTATTGCGAAGTTGGTTACTTCAACCGTCCTAAAGTTTTGTAATTCTCGTGCTTGTCAATGGCTCGTCCGCGTAAGCAAGTTTCCAATGGCCGCCCTCTTAGACAAAGCGATTTGGCTTCGCTCTCGACCAAAGTTCTTCGCCCTCAAGCACTCAACCTTCCGATCACGGAAGGCAAAGCAACCCTCATCTCTCGTCTTAAGTTGGCGACTGGGACAAAACAGCCCCGCTCGACCTCAAATTCGCAAGCCGGATGCGCCCGGACGAAACGTTTAGCACCGAAAAGTCGGCCGGTTAGGGCCACCTTAACCGCCGCTCCCGCAGAATCCTCAACTAAACAAGCAAATTTGGAGAACCCTGGTGATGACTCTTCAAGCGTTGCGTCTGGTTGCAACCTCGACGAAATCATAGGGGAATTTTCCTTGGACGACTCGCCCGATCCTGTCCAAGCCGGACCTTTCACCGCCGCTCAACTGGCTGCCATACAGGACATCGTCAGGTCCTCGTTCGATCAAGCGTTGCAATCATTTCACTGGTCTTTAGGGCTCGACCAACAGCCTGGCACTTTCAACACGCTACATCACAGGCCAGGATCAGCTTGTCCTGTGGGTCTCAACCGTCCACTGGAGCAGAATTTACAAGATAAAATTCTCCGCGCCCCCACCACAGCCAAAGTTCCTGCCCCAACGCCGATCCTTTCCGCCATTCCTCCAAGAACAGCCCCGTCTGCTTCCGTTTCAACAGATCATCCGGATGCAACTCGCGTCCCTGCCCTTTCCCCCATGTCTGCCACCGTTGCCGATCCGCAGACCATTCCATCGTCGCCTCTCCTAGCAGTTTCTCCAAGGCCAACCGCCACTCAAACGGATCCAGTAACACGAGCGATCGCTGCAAGCGATAAAGTCCAGCTCCAAGCGAGGAACATTGCACCACCGGTTTCTACCCCCATTAAAGTTGATGTTTTATCAAAGGAACTTTCTGGTCACCCGGATAGTCATTTTGTTGCTAACTTAATTAATTCCCTCTGTTATGGCACACCCGTTGGTTATATAGGTCCCCGTCAGCCCCTGGTATCCCGTGATTTACAATCGGCTGCTCAGCACCTGGACCTAGTTTCCTCCAATCTGACCAAGGAGATCGCACTGGGTCGCGTAGCAGCCCCCTTTCAGTCTCCCCCACTTCCTAATCTCCAATGTCACCCGGTGGGGGTAATACCTAAGAAACACTCTAACGAGCGGCGAACTATTTAACATTTATCCTATCCTGAGGGCAATAGTGTTAATGACCATATACCCAAGGATCCCTACACCCTTCAGTAAGTTCGGGTGGACGATGCTATTCGCATTCTTAAATCCCTTGGGACCAGGGTCGTTTATGGCCAAAACCGACCTCAAATCAGCCTTCAGGCTAATTCCCATCCATCCCGACGACTGGGATCTCTTGAGGATTCACTGGAACAATCAATATTACGTTAATCTGTACCTTCCCTTCGGGCTTCGCTCGGCCCCGTTTCTCTTTAATCAATTATCGGATGCCCTGGAATGGGTTTTGAAGCATAATTATGGGTTAAAACACGTTCTCCATATCCTTGACGACTTCTTTATTGCCGAACCTACACGCTTAAAATGTCTGTCCTCCTTTAATACCTTGCTTCGCTTTTTTTATGTCGGTTCATGCTCCGGTGGTCGCGTCCAAAACCCTAGGCCCCTCCCAAGTACTAGAATTTATGGGCATGGGATTAGATTCTACACGCATGGAGGCACACCTTCCTGGAGATAAGCTACAGCGCACCTGGTATTTGCTCACGTCCTTTACGAAACGCCGTTCAGTTCGCTTAGTTGAACTCCAGTCCCTTATTGGCACCCTTCAATTCGCGTGTAAGGCAGTCGTCTTGGGGAGAACCTTTTTGCAGCGAATGATTAATCTTACCAGGGGGCTTCCTAGCCGTTTTCACCATATACGGCTCAACAAGGAATTTTTTAACGACCTTACCATGTGGAAGGCTCTTCTCTCGGATTGGAACGGGCGTTCCTTCTTCTTAGACACTACCGTATCCACCCCCCCCCAGACTTGGAGCTATACACTGACGCGGCCAGTTCGGTCGGGTTTGGGGGTTATTTTAATGGTCAATGGTTCCAGGGGAAATGGCTCCCTCATATGCACTTAAGCCCCACCAAGGGTATCACCATTGAATGGCAGGAACTTTTCCCTATAGTAGTGGCGTGCGCACTCTGGTTCCCACATTTTTCTGGGAAACGAATTCAATTTTGGTGTGATAACGAATCAGTCGTCGCCATCATCAACTCTGTCCATTCAAAGGCCCCTCGTATAATGGACCTCCTGAGGTTCCTTGTTCTCCTTTCTATGAAACACAACTTCTTTGTCAGGGCTCGCCACGTCCCTGGGGTATCCAACGACATTGCTGATGCCCTCTCCCGCTTTCAGGTCGTCGGCTCCCAAGGCACACAAAACCCCCTGTACTATCCCGCCTTCACTAATGACCTTTTAACACAAGAGGTGCAGACGTACGCAAAGTGGGGACTGGCGTGGGCTACCAACCATACTTGTGGGTCAGGTGAAAAGCGCTTTATTCAGTGTTGCCTTTCAAACAGGCTTATGTCTCAGGAGGGTGACATTCTCCCAGCTTCGGAAGGAACATTGATTTATTTTGCCTCATATCTGGCTAGGACTGTTAAACATAGCACTTTTAAGTTATACTTAGCAGCTGTTCGTAATTTACACATTTCCTGTGCGCTTTGAGATCCCCTTTCGGGAAAATTACTTTTGCGAGTTTACTTATCAGGGGATTCGAGATTTCGCTCCCAGGTCGACCTGTCCACTGACTGCTTGTCATTCCATCCCAGTCTGGCTTCCCTGCAGCGGATGTCTATTTTTCTTAATGCTTCTAAGACTGATGCCTTTCGCCAAGAGCATACGCTTGTTATTGCATGCTCCATCTCACCGGTTTGCGCGGTGACCGCCATGCGTGATTACTTTCTCACCGCTCGACCGCGTGGACCACTTTTTTCTTTCCGATCTGGGCGTCTACTTACTAGATCTGCCGTCGTTAACCTTCTCAGGGACGCCGCACGTCAAGTCGGTCTACCGTAACTCTCTCAAAGGGCACAGTTTTCGTATTGGCGCTACCTCCACGGCAGCTGCGGCGGGCTTGCCAGACTGGTTAATTAAGGTTTTAGGCAGATGGTCCTCAGATTGCTACCAACTTTGATATTGTCCGCCACACCGAGAATGGCCAGTGTGCCATATCTCTAACTTTTTCCAGGCTTGGGGGGATACATGCTTCACACGTATCAGTGGCGGTTTAAGTCTCACGGCGACTTCCCCAGGCTTTGATCTTAACGCAAACTTTTATATTTGATTGTATTCCAGCACGTGCCGGCGGAGTCGGCTCGTAGTGCTGATAAGATAAAGTTCCTAGAACAAAATATTTGCCTACACCGTTCCATTAAGTTGCACGATGCTGGCCGGAGGTTTAGCTCGTCGTGCCGTGGAGTGTTAGGCCGTATTAAGTTTGTTTCTTTTGGACCTACCTGAACTTGTCCGATCCGGCGCGTGTAAATGAGCGCCGGGGAGATAAGTAAGGCTTTGTGGTCACGCTATGGAAGTCGTCCACCACGCCAATCGCGGAGCGGTCTTCCCCCCATTACGCAATCTGTTTGTTGTCTTATTTGTTACACTTTATTGTAAAACCTAGCTAAAGGAACTACGACATTAATGTGTATAAATACTCTGACCAACTTTCAATGTTTTTGCGCCTTCCACTAAACAAAAGCCGCTTATGGATTATTTCATTCAAGGCCAGCACAAGAACTTTAGTGTTATTAACCTTTGACAATCATTTTATAAAACACCAAAAGATATCAGATTGAACTGCAGTCATTATGTTATTTATGATTTTCCAAGCAGTAATGAGAGAAATATGATCTCTAGAGAGCTGAATGTAACAAAGGATCAATATATTAAAGCCACCAAACAACCCTACTCATTCCTGTATGTAGATAAACAAATGAAGACTGTCAAAAGAAACTTTTATGGAAATATATAATGTATTATCCTTTCTCTGGTGGATATTTATATAGCCAATAATATATGAAGGTACATTTGAAATTTGAAAGTCTCCAATATGCTTTAATGGTAACTGAATTTCTGTATGACCTCCATCCTGTAATATTGAAAGATATGCTAGATATGAAACGGGCTCTTGGTTCAATTCTTGGACAAATTATCCAACCAAATCAACTAACCTACGAGCAAAGAGAACAACTTACCAAATTAAGATAATCTAATTATATGGAAGTATATCTAGAAATTGAAGATGTCAAATATGGTAGAATGATTGCTGAATTATTTGAAAATCTATCAGAGGGTTGTCTATATGAACTTCTTAATCACAAACATGAATCTTTAGAGTTATTGGGATGGATGATCCAATTACTAATGAAGAAGCCAAGCTGTTAAAAGCAAATGGATTTCATGTAAGGGACATAACTGATTAATAAAATAGTAGTGGATGGAAATATCTAATGTACTATTATACAATGGGAATATTTAATCAGCAACCTAATTATAATCAATCATACTCAAAAGGAAAACGCGGTATTACTGGCCTCCAAGGACCTCCTGGTCCCCCAGGCCCTACTGGTGCTCAGGGTGTCCCTGGACCTGCTGGTGCTTAGGGTGTCCCTGGATCGGCTGGCCCTAAAGGTGCTACTAGTGCATCGGGCATTGGTTTTAATCTCACGTCAGATGGGAATTAGGATATGACAAGCAAAAAACTGACAAAGGTGGCTAAGGGAACTGATTCCAATGATGCCGTAATAAAACAGCAACTTCATACTAAACTATCACTTTCTGGTGGTTTAATGACCGGCAATTTGGATATGAATAGCAAAAGGATTTATGATGTAGCACAACCAAATGGTGATAATCAACCAGCTACAAAAATATGGTCAGGAAATAAATTCCTGGATAAGTCCAATGGAGTAATGGCAAGATCACTAAATATGTCCAATAATAAAATTACTAATCTTGCCAAACCAACTGATGATAAAGATGGGGTTAATAAGAAATACATAGATGATAATTATTTGAAACTATCCGGTGGCACTGTTACTGGTCATATAATACTAAACAATACTGTTCTTACTTCACAATATCAAGCACTAAGCCGGACCACTGGAAATGCATTTTTTGTACCAATTACTAATCCGTAAGTTTACCACAAATTTAATATGGTCAAAAACAAGATTATTAATCTTGGAGACCCAACAGATGCTACTGATGCTATTGATAAGCAGTATTAGAAAAATCTTATGTTAAACCCAGCCATTACAATAATTAATTCAAGTACCTACTGACTAATAAATTAGCATGGACTGATCTTCAGGCGGATAGTTTTGACATTACTAAAATTGATAATTTAATGCCCCAAGATGGTAACTATCATCAATACAACCACAAAGTTCTATATACAAGCATTATAAAAGATCAGCAAGGAGGATACTCTTATAAAATGGGAATCAATTGTTATTAACTTGATAAAGATAAAGATTATACTCTGTGTATTGAAATCCTCAATTCAGATTACCAATTATGGCATAAATCAGTTGCTACAATTGTTAAACCACATCAAAGGGGGTATCGGTTGCTGTTTTACGGTACAGAAGTTTTTTCACCGGTACACAAATAGTAGTGGGAACACTGCATATATGTATTATATCAAAATAATTGTAAACTTTTTAAAAACTGTAACAAGTCTGTACAGTCTGGATCTTTACGTTAATATACCCCAAGCAGGTATTGATCTCAATACTTATCCAAAAAATTGAACAAATAACTGGATGATTGCTTATGGTGTTTTCGGAAAAGTGTCATCCATTGATCCCCAAAAAACATATGATTACCATACGGTATTTTATATTAAGCCGACTGAAGTTGTTTACAATGTTGATCTGGATATGAACAGAAAGAAAATATTAAATATTGATCCAGATAAAACTAGGGCAACTTGAGTCTTTTCGAAATTACAAGGGTTTCTTTATTATTTTCCCGAAAATTTTAGATGCAGTTTCACCTATTACGAAAGTGTTTCCTTTCTCCATCACATTTTTGAATCCGAAAATTTGAGGTTTCCTGTTTTCGACGAAAGAAGCCTAACCTGGGGGATGAAATGTAAAAAATTAATCTTCAGAAAATCGTAGGGAGTTAATTACATAAGCTTCGAAAATTGTACATAAATGGAACAGTCATCTAGAAATTTTTAGCAGTCCTCAAGCTATCGAAAATTCTAGGCAATATTTGCTTCTCCGAATAGATATTTTAAAGAAACAATTGTTGAGTGCCCCTGATGAATCGTGTCTCTTTTCTGGAAGCAGACATTCGAGTGTAAAAAGGAAAATTAAACTTACCGTCCGTTGTTAAATGAACTGAGCCACACTGTGCTCTTAAAATAACTGTTTTATCTATAATATCCTTCCTTTTTCCTTTTCTTTTTCCACTATTCGCTTTTGTACTCTCATTTTATTCTTATTTTTTTATCCTCGACTTTTTTAGGTACGCATGTGCGTACGGTATGCACAGGCAGCTGCCATGCGCCCCTGGTATGGTTGTCATCCGCAATCAAAGTTAGTCTGAAAGTCTTGCACAAAGTACAGCACAGCTTCCTTAGCTTCCTTAACAACATAAAACTTTATCATAGTACAGAGTAACCGTTGAATGTGAATCGTTAACAAACACTGCCCAATTTTTACAGACCTCTATTGAGCGGACACTTGGGAAGGTCCTCAAGGGTGTCTACTTAATAGAGGTTTTACTGTATATGATATGCGCAGTCTTACCCCAATATACTGTCTACCCAAAAACCCTGGCCGACCCTGTGATACACTGAACGCTGAGCTAAACAAGTTGTCGATTTGGTTTAAAGTTAACAGGCTCTCATTAAACCTGAAAAATATATTGATTTAAACCACGCCAAAAGCGTACAAATCAAACTATTCAACTTTTAATCAATGGCCAAAAAAATAGATCAGGTAAGAGAATCAGTTTTCTTGGGAGTAATCATTTATGAAAATTTAAATTTGAAATCTGAAATC